CTATAACATCATGGCTGAGAATGATGCAGAGGAAGCAAAGATGGAGAATGGTAAACAATTAGTAGAAGTAATTTTCATAAAGCAGTAGGATTTTTAGGAAAGTCACAGAAATTTGGCCAAACTCAGGGTAGCTTGCCTAGAAATAAAGGCATCAGGTCATTTTAGAGAAAGAGGGATAACATATATGCAAGACTCACCAAGGTTCAAGGTTTGGAAGTCAGAGCTAGACAAATTCAACTTAGCGATTAGAGAGCCTCAGGAAGAAGAGGGATTCCTTCAGAGTTGAAATTAAGATTGAACATTATCCCAAAGATATATTTTAGTTGAATTAATACTTTACTTGGCTTCATAAATCAGTTATGGAGTTGTGTTGTGCAGTATGTCAACTACAGTGACCAAAACAGAACACTGGAACATGAATCATTAGAAGGAATTAAATTTCTTATTCTTAGTCACCTTTACCAAGTGCCATGACGCATATGCATCAGTTTTTCCTATCTCCACCATAAAATACTGATGTTTTCATCCTTAGCAAGGTTAGCTAAGGACCATACATTAAAAACTGTGTAACGGAAGTGGTCAGTAACATTAGTTAGAGCGTAAAAACCCCCCACATTTAACACTTACAGGGTAAAAGTAGGATTTGATATGCAGAGCAATAGCCAAACTGAAAATGTACCTCGGCCTTGAAAACCTGTTTCTCAGTAGCTGAATAATAGCTAACTGTAATAATACATCAGCAACACAATGAAACTTCCAACATATGTACACCTTGAGTCTAATGTTAATTAAATGCATTATCAGGAAGAGGGGAATCAAACTGTAGACAAGTCTAGTGTGTGTGGCAAAGCACCCTAGAGGAGTCCAATCCATCCTTAATCTGGTATTGTTCTGGATGAGTTCAGAAAAATAATTCATACCCTTCAGAAAGATGTTAGAGCACTCACTAATAATGCACCACTGGCAAGTTTAAGATGGTGTGATTTCTATAATCCTTTGGAATATATGAAATAAAGGTACTTTTCAACCATGTCTACATCATCAGAAATCAAAAGCTAGACATACTGCAACTGGTGGTCACCACGTACACACAGACAGACCTGGAACTTGTGCGTAGCCTTTTAGGAGCTGAACCTGAGTTGGGGAAAAACCCGAGTCCCGTATGTATGGGGGACTTGGCTAGGGACACTGAGAGCAGTAATACAATGACAAAGGCAAGATTTAGGATGGTTGTCTTCCTATTATTCTCTGGTCACCAGCCCTGAGGAATCTGAATCCAATAACTGAGAAGCCTTCGTGCAAATAGTAAGCATTTCCTCACATCCCTTCAAAGGCAATCGAAGAATCGTGAATGTGACTTAATGTTTGCTTACTTTCATATAGAAGGAACGCATGCATCCTGGCGAGTAATGTCTTCCCTTATTTTGCCTTGCCTTCGCTGCCTTTCCCTGTCCTTCTATGCTCTGCCCTACCTTGAGTGATTTATTTACTGCATCAGTGCATTTAAGTCATCAGAATGGAGAATATTGCTTTATATCTTCAAGCCAAAAAAGAAAATTACTCTTTTAGGTTAACCCAATTTTTTGTATTCTCATTTTGGGACAACAAGAGGTCACTGTAAATAATTTTGGCCTGAGCAAATCATTGAGCCATTTCACCTTAAATATTGCATTGTACTGTAATTAGCAATACTACCTCTTTAGTATAAAGTATGCTAACTTAGAGATAAGTATTTTATTATTACAAACCAAAGAATTTCATATTAGATATACCTTTATAAAATGATACAGCAACATGGGAGGTTCTGGTTTTTGTTCTGAAGGCAAAGTATGTGTCATGTACAGAAACATCTTTGGTGATGAGATAAAATGCATCAATCTCGTTGTCCTCATATAACTCACCATAGCAATTATTTAAGTGATACAGAAGAGTATCTTCCTTTTTCATATGTAGCAATTTGTGTGATAAAAGGGCACTGGAGTAATAAAAAGTGTATATTTCACTGGTGGTTATGAAACACTGTGTGCCTGAAATAAGTATAGTGAGTAATGCCAAATGGCATTTGCAAACTTAAACAAATTGAGTCACATATGTTGTAGAAAACAGCACAACATACTCGCCAATACTTGCCATCAAACCAAACTAGGGCAAAGGACTAGTGAGAATCAATGCAGTTTGATTACTGTCCAGCATGACTCGCACTTGAGAGAAACTTCAAAAAAAATTACCTGAGAATGTATTTTTAAAATACATATTATTTTCCCTCTTTAATAACAAAATACAGATTTTTAATTGAAAACACTATTGAAGTTATTTTTGAAAAAAACCCCATCATTCATTTTAATTGTTCAGTATTTTTTGAAGGAATTTTAATTTGATTTTTTCATTTACAATGTTCTAAGTGAACCAAAAGTATTTCCTTGTTTACTTTTAAAACAGAACCACAGAGAAAGATGTCTTAAGCACTCGTATAAGGAACACTGGCAAATTCTACGTGGGAGAACACAAAATGAGCTCTTTAAAAATTCTATACAAGGAGATTGGAAAGTAACAAAAGTATGGAAAACATTGTTCCTTTTAACAAATTCTCTAAGAAAGATCTTGCAAAATTAAATATGCAAAGTGAAAAATACACTCCCAAGTGAAAAACAGGAATTTATTGACAGGTATGTAAAAACCAGAATAAGGTAATATACTAGGAAAGGGATGAAAAGTTAAGAACTTCATCCCTGAAGATAAATAAATGACCTAACAGATACAAACTGTAACCACATAGAATGTAAATATTGCAATAAAGTTAAATACCTTGTCAGCAATTGGGTACTAAAGCTATGCTTTCCAGTTTAGCTGTGTCTCTTTGGAAGATTTGGCTTAAAAAGGAGACAAAATCAGCAATCGGCATTATGCAGATTAGGAAGAATCAAACAAAGAAATATAAGTAGGAATTTCAGAAGTTCCCAGCTCCATGTGAGGACTTGCAGATGGGCCCCACTATGGTACAGGGGCTTTGACAGCCCGAAGGAGCCCTTGCTCCCTTTTATTTGCAATGATCACTTTTGAGCTGGACTGGTTTATTGGTGTGCAAAGAAGCTCCAGATACAATGTACTGGTACAATTTGGGGTGATGTGCTGTGTTTTTGCATGAAGTATGATGTTTTATGCCACTGGACAGTTGTATCTTACTGTGGCCCCAATGTCGGTCAGTGTCATGGCTCCTAACTTCTGGTGGCCTTGCCTTCAAAACAAAAATCAAAACAAAATGATGTTGTGCTACATGCTGAGTTTACTGTGAATCCAGAGCCACTCAGAGCTGTCCAGTAAGAAATGCTGAGATGTGGAATCTCTCCTAATTCCTGATCCTTTGCAGGGGGATGAATTATGTCCTAGCTCTTAGTTTCACAGCCTGCTTGGACATGCTCCTAAAAATAGGTGTCTACACCTAAAATTCATAGAATCATAGAATCATAGAATAGTTTGGGTTGGAAGGGATCTCAAAGACCATCTAGCTCCAACCCCCCCTGCCATGGTCAGGGACACCCTCCACTAGACCATGTTTCCCAAAGCCTCATCCAACCTGGCCTTGAACACTTCCAGGGAGGAGGCAGCCACAGCTTCTCTGGGCAACCTGTTCCACTGCCTCACCTTGTTCATAGTAAAGAATTTCTTCCAAATATGTAATCTAAATCTAACCTCTTTTAGTTTAAACCCATTACCTCTTGTTCTGTCACTCCAGCCTTTGTAACCAGTCCCTCTCCAGCTTTCCTGTAGGCCCCAGTTATGGTTTGCTTGTTGGTTTTGTTTTTTTTTTTTTTTTTTTTTAAATGGGAAGTTGGGAAGGCTTCATTTTGGTTAGCAGCTCCAGGATCAGAGCTCTCACCCTGAAGAACTGGAGAGACTTGGTGGCCTGAAGGCACTCCCTAGAAGACCGGTCTGACCACAAAGCTACTGACTGCTTAGAATTAAAAAAAAAAAACCAAACCAAAAACAAACCTCTCATCCTTTCCTGTTGAACTTTGTATTGCGTATTTAAAGATCTTTCAGCCTGAAAAAAAGCAGCATGGAAAGCAGCAGGACGCTGCAGCCCAGCAGAGCGGTCATTCGCTGTGGAGAGGGAAGATGAGTACTCCAGGCACCATCAGCTCCCTCTCCCTGGCTCCCCTCAGGGCAGCAGCACCAACCGCGCTGAGTGGAAGCAGCTGGCCCAGTCCTTTACGGGTGTCCCGACGAACAGGCGTGCTACAAATACACAGAACAGATTGAACCCTTCGGGCACTGTAAACTAATGTTTATCTAGGTTTAGGATCCAGATGGGGCTCAGCTCAAGATAGGTGTTCGGCTGGTCAGTGCTGTCAAAATCAGATGTTTTTAAAACCTTGAGGCTTAGGAGCTTTGAATCACAAATAGTCACCTTTACAGGTGGTGGGTGGGGTTTTGGTTTTTTGTTTTGTTTTGTTTTGTTTTGTTTTGGTTTTGTTTTTAAACTAACAGGCTTCAGGATTCCAGGTTCCTGATGTCCATTTTTGTAACTAAATCTTTTTTGTGGAGATGGGCTTCCGTGACAAAAGGGGTTATTTTGATTCAGGCTCCAAATTCATCTTGCTTCTCCTGTCATTGTTCCAAAAGGACATTTGCAACTCAGAGGCAAACATCTAGAATAATCTAATCCCACCTTTTTGGAGAACCTAAAGGAATTCAGATGATCAGGCTTCTTTATTTACAAAGTTGTCTCATTCACAGACCCATCTTTTCACTATCGAATTTCTTGGTTTGCGGTATAGCTATAGTATTTGGCTTAAGTGCTATTAGTTTCTTATTTATTTCACCTATTCATATATTCACCTATTACCACCTAATGAACTTTAGAACAGGTCCAGTTATAAGAGATGTATTCGAGGAAGTTTTAACTCACTCCCAGCCATCAGGAAAGCAAATATAATTCAGTACACGCCAATCAGTAAATAGCAGCTTGAAGTCAGTGTTGCAGAATGAGCAATGCTTACCATCAGCAGCCCTTTATAAGCGTAGACAATCCCAAGCCAAATTGTCATGTGAGTGTTTTCACAGTGTTCCAAGATTGGTCGGATGGAGATATCTCTGCCAGCAGGGTCCGGCTACAAAAATAAAAGGTGAAACATTTGGCTTCAGATTTCATTTGTATTCACACCTCAGAGGTACTTAAATCTATTCTCAGTAGATTGAGGATGTGTAGAATACAGAGTCGACAACTTTAAAGTAACTGGTGACGACCCATGAGCCTGCAAAGGAATACAGTGAAAAAAAAGATCTGAAGAAAACAACTGCATGACAGCTACCACCAGGTGAGGTCACCTCTACTGCAAACCAGAAAGGAAAAGTCTGGAGTCACTCCGTCTTTAACAGTGTCAGTCACATTTATCAGCTTTAGGACATCTAATTTTTCTACAAGGCAAACAGCTTGAATGCACAGGCATGAAAATAAATGTGCTTAAAGTCATCCCTTCTTTCACCTGCGGTTCTTGTGTCACTGGCAAATGGCTGATAAACAATGTAGGAAACACTGCTGTGTTTCAGGTGTTTTTTCATTGATAACCATGAGCTAAATCAAAGACCATTTACTATGGAAACTACATCAGTAGCTTAGAAGGGAGTATAAATCATCAAAACTCTGGAAAAAACATCGTTTAGAGCAAGTGAACATCTATGCAAAATTTAATACTGCTGGAAGCTTTGTAGCTTTCCATTTATTTTGAAAAGGAGATTGTATAAAAGTGCAGAATCAAGAGGACTTGCAGACCACCAGGACTGTTTGTATGAGGGAGAAGTTAAAATTAAGACTCAGAGAACCTTGTGAGAACAACCCCCAATCTCACTTTTTTTTTTTTTTTTTTTACAGCAGTTGACACTAGCTACTATGCTGTCTGCAATTATATATTAGGGTATGATCCAACTGCTTTTTAATAGTGTACACCGTATAAGAACACAAGGTGCCTCTTGTATGTGATTCTAAGAGATCCTGTTTCACTTAGGTACCGCAGAATACTCCTGTTGGCTGTTCTGAGCTGTGTGCACTTACAGTCTGTTTTGCTTTACAAAATACACTGAAATACTGAAAGCTATTTTTCCTTTCTACTTTGAAACACTGGATCTGAACTTCAGCTAAACTAAGATCAACCCAGACATAACTTTCTGTACCTCGTAGTCCCAGGGCTTTGCAATTTCCCCTTTCCCCGTGCAATTTCCCATGTGTAAAATGTCTCATGCAGAAGAATAATGATTATAATATGAGCTAAGGAAAAATCACATTTTCAGCAACTGAAACATAGAATTATGGATGTGAGGACTTTAGAGAGACCTGAATAATTTCCTAAAGCTTATTCTAGCTGCCTCAGATGCTGGTATGAATTTTACTATGGATTTCAGTGATCACAGCATTAATCTGCAGCTCAGTTTCTTCCATCAGTCTTTTTGAATTTAAGGCGTTGCCCCTGACCTCATACACTGTAAAAAGCTAATGTAACAAAGAAGGAGGTAGACAAAAAATACCCAAAAACCCTTGTGCTATGTGCTGCATAGCCAAAGGATTCATAATTTTCTTTGCAAATCCTGCAGTAGGCAAGACATGAATCACAGAATCACAGAATGGTAGGGGTTGGAAGGAACTTCTGTAGATCATCTAGTCCAACTCCAATGCCTGAGCCTGCTATAAAGATTTTTTTTTTTCTGTCTTTGAGTTACAGTATACCAACAGTTGCATCCCTCATGGTCTGGAATTATGCAAGTTACATAAAATTTAAGCTTGTGGTCGTCAGAATGTTGTTTGTTTGTTTGTTTGTTTTCTTCACACTGGGGATTCAGCACAGGACTGTCTTTTCGCTTCCCTAGCTCTACATTCTCTCCACCATATATCCCCCCTATTTCAGTTTCATACTTTTGTGAACCAAGAAATTTTATAAATAATGTACACTTCCACTTGGTGCAGTGGACCATGTCATGTGGTTTGTTTCCCTTGTCCATGGACTGAAACCTCTGCTCATGCTTAAACTGAAGGATTCCACCACTTCTAACCATCTCCGAGTAACTGGAACTATTCCTTATTCCAAAGAATATTACTGAAATGCAAACTCCTACTTAGCCAGTGGCAGATTCTATTTTCATTTTCACTATGTGGTTATTCTCTAATGCAAATTTGCTTCAGCGTTGGAGAGCATATGTTCATTCATTACTCAAAACTGAGACCTGGATAGAAAAATGATGAAATGGACTTCTTTTCAAATACTATTAGAGAGAAAGAAGTCGCATAATTTCCTTGGTAGGAAGATTGTCAGATTTTATAACGCAATGACAATTTAAAAAATATGTTAATTAAATAAATCAGTGTATTCAGATTTTCTATGTGAGATAAGAAAGTCTTGTGAAGTGCTCTAGGGGGAGCAGGAAAAGAGAGAATATTGATCGCAACGTCAGCAAAAGTGTACATGGGGCAGCGCTTCTTTCCAAGCACCTCCCAGATCTTCAAGGTGGTAGTATTTGAAACAAAATTTTGCTGAGGTCTTGTGCATTTGGACTTAAGCATTGGCAGGTAGTAATTTTACAGTGAACTGAATTTGCTGATTACTTATCGCTACTGCAAAATGACATTCCTGTTTTACTGCTTTTAATTTGCCATTCTGTTTCTTCCCTGATTTTGCATGAATTAACTAATCATAGCAAAAAGCTGGGTTAAAAAACCATGATATTTTCTGATGTCAAAAGAATTTTTAAAAACTCTACAATTACAGCTGAATGGAGCACTTCACTGACCTCTCTAATCATCCACCATTTGTGCACTTTGTTACTGCTTTGAAGAGGATGACAACATAAATGCTACCAGTGATTATATATGTACTGGAAATTTGCCCTTTCCTTTTATAGAAAACAATCTAAATGCCCTTCAGATGTCATTCTCAAAAGCCTGAAGACCTCCTGTCTTCTGATTAGGCTGAAGCTTTCCTACCTCTTCTGAAACCTAATAAGGTTTCTGACATTGACATCAATTTCTGGAGTGTTTTCAGCAGTTGAACGTAAACAGTTTAATCTGTTCGCCTCATACAAGAGTTGTGTATCATCACCACTAAAGTGCTTGTTTTACATCAGATCTGCTAGGTCTAGAAAGCAACCCAAACCAGTAAACAGATTACCTACAGAATGTTTATATCCCCTTTCTGTGCATGTTCAAATTATTATTAGTCACTTCTGTAGTTTTGTTGCCTTTTCATTTTCTTCGCTCTTCAGCCTGCCGATGGGCTGGCTAGTCCTCGTCACAACAGGTGAACGACGGCTTAGGTGGGTACTGCTAGAGGTAGGAGTGAAGCTAAAAACCACCTGAAACCAGCGGGAAAATTTGCAGGAGAGACCTGGGCAGGGACAATGACAGATACTGCTGAGTGCCTCCCGCCTTCCTGCACCTCCTCGAAATAACGGAGCAGCAACGAGGCTCTTGTTTCCTGCACGCATCTACGGATCGTGGTACAAAACTACAGGCTCGGTTTAAGCTCCTTTCCAGAGCGGCTCGTGTCAGGGAAGCAGAAAGGCAGGGCTGCAAGTGCAAGTGCTGTTTTCTTTGAACAATTTTCTCCAATGCCATTAAGGCTCTAGCTCCATTTGAGTAACCAAATGTACGCCGTGTAATGGACATCTTTCCTAGTCTCAGGCTAAGGTGTGGGAATATGGGGCAAACCACCCTGAGGCACCTGTGCCTTGTGGGCATGATGATATTTGATCCATATAAAGGTAGCTCTTATCTCCTTTTTTTTTTCATCTGTAGCTACAATTTCTTAGTGGCTATTATACTAGCAAAAATCCCTTTGGAAAAGACCCTGCACAGTATATTTGTATGACGATTAATGTATCATTGACTTATTTTGTGTCTTTATTGCCGTTACTTCTCTGTAGCTCCACATAGGTCTTAAAAGGAGGAAGGGTCTATGTTCCACGAGGCATTTTATCCAGCAAATGTCTCTGAAGAACAGACTGGGCCACCACGCAGTATCCAAAAGTCCTTGACCTTCCTTCTTCTATGTGGTCACCTCTTCAGGTCCTGTTGACAGTACAGCAGATGTTCCTTATTTACAGAGTTGTGGTGGTGCTGTGTGACACAACTCATGGCTGGGCAATCTCAGAAAGCTTTCTAAGAAACTTTGCAGCGCATTTCCAGTGCGACATTTTGCCACTTCTGCAGCTGCAGTTTCATCAGTGAGAAAATCAGACCATTAGGCCTCAGTCTTTTCCAAAGATGGATGTGAAACATAAGGTAAAGAGTTGCAGTTTCTGATTACTAGGTTTAAAATAAACTGTGCGGTTCCCATAGTATAGGAAAATACAGGATCATACTCTTCTGTCACATTGTTAAACTGGTCTACGTATACCATCCCACTCTCTGTTTTATCTTCCCTTTAAATGGCTTCCATCTAACTGGCATAATGACTGTATACTATCGCTAGTCTGCAGCATGAATTAGACATCTCTGGCATGTTTAATTTGGCACATTTAACAGTCATATGGAGCTGAAATGTGATTTGTTATCTGAAAATCCAGACTTTGCTAAATTAGAAGATGATCCTTACTTCTTTTTAAATTCACTTTTTTTTTTTTTCAAGGATAATTATAGTTTATACTATAAAGTCTGTAAGAAATTAAATTTACTTGCACGTTGTAACAGGCCCTCCTCTGTGCAGATAGAAAGGTGTTCCACAAAAGGATTTAAACAGTTTTAGCATGCAGTGTATTGTAGCCAGGCTCTCAATTACTGATGAAAAGAGAAAGAGAAGGATCAGAGGCTGTCTTCTTTATTTGAGGGTATTTTTAGAGAAAAACAACTGTGATATGGAAAAGAGATTTGCCAGGAAATAGATCCCTTTTGTTTAATATATTTTTTACTTTGTGTAGGCATACTTTCCATGAATGCAAAATAGCAAATGCAATACTAAACTGGGGTACCTCATTTGGAATATCTTTCAATTAAAAATTTGGTAAGCAACCTAGAATAAAAGCTTGTTTGTCTTTGTTCATATCATCTGAGCTGGGGTTCAGATACATTACAAATCACAATGTATGTTATATAGTAGCTCAAACTGTTACTGGATTCTTGCAGTGC